CTAGAAAAGCAAGCCAGGCGCCCTACCAGAAAGGCAGGTTCCTCGTGTCCCTCCTTGGCAGCCTGAGCCGCCTCTTTCTCTTGGAGCCAGGTCTCGACCACGGTGGCTTCGGAGAGGAGGGATTCCTGGGGGCGGGAAAATGAGGAAGGGGCAGTCCGGGGAAACGGTTGCGGTGCATCAGGCGGAGGACGGGTCGAGGAAGAAAGGAAGAGAAGGGAGGAAGGAGGCGGCCGAGGTGGGGGAACGAGGGGCGTGGGCGAGGGATGCCAGGGCAAAAGAGGAGGAGAGAGGGGTGAGGAGAGGAACAGGGAACAACATAGACTGGCAGAGAGCGCGGGCGGGTCGAGGCAGAGGACCCACCTTCTCTTCCTCCGTCAACCAGGGCATGGTCACGTTCCACCGCTTGACCAGGGCCCGGACCTGGAGAGGGAGGGGAAAAAGAAGGGCGAGAAAAGGAAATGCATGAGCATTTTCCAAACTAGAACCAGTTGGGGAGGACGAGTGGCACCCAGAAAGCCCCCTTTCATGGCACACCTACCTCTGCCACATTCTTCACCGCCGCCTCAAGTGCCGCAGCACGGGCTCCACCTGGCCCTTCGGCTTGGCGCAAGAAGATCGGCACGGCCAAGGCACGGACTTGGGTGGTCCTCTCCTTGTACACTGAGGCCTCCACGTCCCGGCCTGTGGAAAAGGAGGGGATGAAAGGGGGAAGGAGGGGCAGAGGGAGGGGGAAAAGGGCAGCGGGCCCCGTTAGGAGCCGTTGGGTACCCGAGGGAAGGCGATTGAGTGGAGAAGAGAGGGAGGGCGAGGGAAGAGCGAGGCAAAGCACGGGGACGCTTACCTTCGTCATACATCCAGTCGTCGGTGGCCTCCACTTGGGCCAGGACCGCGCTTCGTTGCTCATCGGTTGAGACCAGGGAGAGCTCCTGATGAAGCAACAAGCAGGGGGGGAAGGGGAAGGGAAAGGGAGTTCTGCGTCGACAAAGTCCGATAGAGAAAAAGGCGCCTCACCATCCGCTTCCTTTCCGACGTCTCTTTCCTTCCTTTGCTTACCTCCTCGTGCTCCATCATCTTGTTCTTGACCTGCCAAGACGGAGACAGCAAAGGGGGAAAGAGGAAAGAAGAAAACGAAAGAGAGGCTGTGAGACACTGACAGCATCACCCTGGAACATCCTCATCCTCCTCTCCCCAGCCACCTGGCTTCCAGCCTTCCCCTCTCCGTCCCTACCTCGTAGAGGTAGGCCTCCAAGCTATTCCGCGCATCGGCTTTTTCCCTCTTCAGCTGGTCGTTTGCCCGCAGCGCCGCGAGCTTTTGCTTGCTGCTCTCCTTCTCCTCCTCCGTTCCCGGCCGGAGACGCAAGCCTTCGTAATGGCTGGTCACACGGAGGATTTTTCGGTGGACTGGAAAGGCGGGAAGACGAGGAGAGAAAGAGAGCAGAGAACATGAGGCATCGGGTCCACGTACCATAGTCACATCGAGACGACTCAAAGGATTCACGCGTCCTCCCCCTTCCCCGCCCAGCAAGTCCTCATTCTCTCACTTACCGATGGGTTTCGGCGGCGCCGGAGCTGTGGTGTTGCTGCTAGTAGTGTTGCCTACTGTCGCGTTCTGCCCATCCACCTTTTTCACCGTCTCCGCATCCTTCTCTTCCTCCGCCTCAGCCTCCTTCCCACCCTCGCCCTCGCCGTCTTCCTCTTCAGACGGAGCGTCCGCGTTCTGGGCAAGGGCAAAGGGCAAAAGGAAAGGGGAGCGAGGATGGGTTCTGGGGGGATGGGGCCTACAATGGGGTGGGATCGATGGGACCCCGGTAAGAGGACTTACCCCGACTGCCTCGGAGCTCGGGGGGGCATCCTCCTGGAGACGAGCCTCCGCCTTCACCAAGTGGACCAGCGCCGAGGCATCCAGCTCGAAGGTGAGGAAGACCTGAGGGGGAGGAAAAGATCGGAACGAAAGGAATGGCCGAGGGACAGAAAGGGTTTTTGAGCCCAGGTCATTAGAGAAATGCGCGGAGAAGGCCCCACCACGAGGCTACGGGAGCTGGGGGAGAGGGGAAGGGAGGGAGCGACAGGGACTACAACAAGGCAGTGAAACTATTGGTACCTTGGGAGGGTAGGACGTCTTGGCTCCGTGCTCCCTCACGAGCTCCGAGACGCCTCGAATGTCGAAGAGAGCGATGGTGGGCTGGGCTCCTGGGGGAAAGAGCGCCGAGGCTTCGTAGGTCTGAAAGCGGGAGGGACGGAGGGGTACAGGGAGGAAAGGTCACGGTGATGGAAGCGGTCCTCGGGGTCTGCTACCATAATATTATTGAAAAGGGAGGGAGAGGCTGAGGGCGGGCCTGAGGGAGGGGGGGAGGGAG